GAGAGTGGAAGGCACGAATGCCACCAGTCCGATCCTCAGCCAGTGTGAATTTAGAGCTGAGGATCTGGCCACATGTCAAATTAAACAAAGGCATTTTTGAACTACCTGTTTATTAATGGCATCTGACCTACTTTTACCAGCTCTAAGGACTCAAACTTCCACTTCCTGAAAATAGAAGGTGGCATGGGGAACAAAACCAGTCGCTGTGGACAAACTAATGGGCATCAATGTTTGCAGACAACCAACAATTAAATTTGGGTGGTTCAGTACATTTCTAATTAAGTACAATTAACATTTGTTCTTTACATACCTCAGTGATGTTCCAAATCTGGTTTCCCCTGATAATCTATCCAAGCATATCCTAATGATTCTGCCTTTCAATTCCTTATTAATACACGAACATAAACAATGCAGAAATGCAATTAGACTGCTATGCACACATGGCCTGCCTCCTCTTTCACTGAAGCTGCTGGGAGTCTGGACACACACTTCCATTACGGTAGTTTCGGGCTTTCTATATGTCTGCAGAAGTTTCAAGGAAAACCTTTAGTTTTTGCCTCCAGAGATCCATGACATGCTTCTCTTCCTCCCTCTATAGTGCCGGAGAGCTATATCTGCAGAATATCATTCACATGATGCGACTTTTGCACTGCAGACAAGCCTTGACAGGCTTAGCACTCTGTGTTAAATCGGTAGTGATTTCAATGAGGATCCACACATATCAGAGTGTTACAAACATTGTGGATTCCTGAGATTAGCTCTTTGGCAGCAGTACCAGTTTAGGCATTGCTGCACAGCTCCTGGTCCCTGCTGCCTGCTTCTGTCTTCAACTTCAGGTATTCAGCCTCTCCCTTCCAAATCCCACCATTCCATGGGTTTTACCAACCAAGAAGAGTTCATATCCTGACACTGTAGTCAAGGGGGCAGAGAATCAGGTACCAGTTTTATCACTGACTTTGTTGTTATAGGTATCTCTGCAATACTATCATGTTTTTTCTCCCTCATGCACACCCAGAAGAAAAAAAAAAAAAGTCAAAAACCTGCAGATCAATATGATGGCAAGGTTGTAAAATAATACACTGATACTCGTTTTAAAGCTAAACAAAACCGATAGCTTGAGAGAGAGGCAGTGAAGTGGTGGGAGAGTTGGAACACCTAAGATAAAATTTCAGCTTTTCATCTCTTTGCAGTTTCTGAAAGGCTGACTGATCAAACCTTGGGCAGAGCATGGTGATGATCTCTCCTGAACTGCCCACACAGAAATGTCCAGAGAGAGAAAATGCCCCCCAAAACCACTGTACAACTGCTGAGGAAACCAGTGCCTCCACAAAACAATACCAATATCCCATGTGCCTTTCTTGCCAATCTCCGTCAGACCAGTTTAAGGTAAATGCAAATTTGCTGAAGAGATTCAGGTCAAAAACATCAAGCACATTCCTGGTGTGCAGATGCTGGTTCTGCAGCCTCAAAGCTGATGAGCTTGAGGTGGAGCCCAGCTTGGCTGGCTGCAGAGACCCTTGGCAAGCCCTGCTGCTGGCTGCCCCTCTGCTGACAACACAACCCCCAAGTAAAAATGATTCCAGAAAGAACAACTCCAGGGAGGCAGGGAGAGGCCATGGAGGCTGATGGACACTGCAGGACAAGTGCTTCTACTACATCCACTGCACAGCTCGGAGCTGCCCAGCCTGGGAATGCAGGTGTCCGCTACAGAGCAGCAGAATAAGCTGGAGTAAGATAGCACTGAAGAGAAGTTTCTCGGTCATTTAAGAAGGACTAACCTTTAGGTTTTTTCAATTGCATTTCACTTTAACTCTTTCTGCATCTTGTCTTTTGCCTGCTATCTCAGAGTTTAGTAGCTCTGCACAAGCTTTAAAAAATTCCCAAATGTTACCTTTTGCCCCAGTTTCTCTTGACTCTTCTGTATTTCCTTGCTGAGGTGAGCATCAGAAGAGAATCTTTTCACCTATCCATCTAGCTAGCTAACAAAAGGTTATTTATTGGTGATGGAGTTGGTTTAAGAGTCACAGAATCACAGAATGTTAGGGGTTGGAAGTGACCTCAAAAGATTATCTAGCCTAAACCCCCTGCCAGAGTAGGATCACCTACAGAAAACAAAAAGGGAATTTTAATGATGTTGGTCTTTCCATATACCAAAAAGTCAAATTTGTTGAGCAATTTTACAGCATTTTTTTTTATTTGCTACCAGGAAACTATGTTTAATTTGGCTCGCCTCCTGTTGGCTGGCCTGAATGATGTAGAGAGGAGAGTTATGCAAATTGATTGTATTAATCACAAAGTGCTAAAATACGTCTGCATTTTCTTTAAAAACAACGGAATCCACTACAATATTTTTAGATTTTTGAAACAGAAATACTCCCTAGAACAGAAATTAAAAGAAGCAGCCAGATAACCTAATGGTTTCTATTAAGGACCTCATAGGTAACACTCCTTCAAAAATAAAAACATCTAACTTATGCACTACTCATCATTCCCTAGCTTGCAGCGGTAGTACTCAAGTGAAGTGAAGTTAAACACATATACAAATCTTGGACCAAACAGATCTGTGCACTGCAAGGTCTTTGCAGCAACACCATCTTTTTACTTGGAGCATGTGCTCTGACCCGTGGTGTGGCACTCAGCAACTTGATGAGAATCCGCACTGCCACACCTTGCCTAGTGGTAACCTGTCAATTTAGGCTACAAGGTACATCTACGCACAGAAATAGGTGCTACTAGAACACAAATGAAGCAGCTTTTTTGTCTTGAAAGCCCAACATTGGACAGATAAATCCAAAGAAATGCTGTAATGGCAGAATAGGTACATTTTTTTTATCTGCTGCACAAGGTACACATACCTTAAATCTGTTGTTCAGGTAAACTTCCCCTCACACAAAAAGGAAAAGTAAAGTGAAATGGGTGGGATTACAGGGTTCTCCAGTTCTTCAGGGAGAATACCTGAACTGGAACAGGCATCAGCCTGGGCAAGGCATGCCAGCTGCTGAGGTAGTTCACTCTGCTATCTCCTCAGAGCAGGAGTAAAAAAAGTAATTATTCAAAACCCAAAATTATTCAGGTATTTCTTCCTTTCTGTGACAGTTCATTATCACCACATTATTCCACTCCTCTTAGTCAGAGCATCAAAAATGATGTTCTCCAGACTACTTCTTCAATGAGCATTTAAAGGAGAAGGAAGGGGAGTGGGTTAAGGAGAATCATCAAAGAACAATTATGAAGGCAATTTGGAAGCAAGTCTGGAAACAACCTTGTAAGAGAGCCAACAGATGATTCAAATTGTTACATTTCTTCTTTGATCACCTGCTCAAACATATTTCTAATTAACAATTAATTGAGTCCACAATTTAGAACATTATTAAACACCTGCTCACGGATATTCATTTCTGTTTCTGATGACACACTCAGCTGTGCTGTCCTGCAGATCTGTGCTTGTTAATAGAAGGAAATATTTGACAAAGGATGAGCACCACCCCAACTCCTGGACAAAGAACTGCTTTATCAGTGCTGCACCATGATTTCAATCCAGAGTATGCATAGATGTATAAAAGAAAGTTTCTTCTTGAAAAAACGAAAAAGATTGTAAATTCTCATATATGCTTTTCAAAGGGTTTCTCTACTTAAAAATGTTGCGATTTCTTTTCTCTTGCATTTTGCACGTGTAAACATAAACAAATTAATACACAGAGTTTTGTGACTTGTCCTTTGAACGTAATATAACAAATGGAGGGAATGCAGCCCTCACCTGCCCTGGAAATGGGGATTTTCAGGTTATACCTATCCCAGCAAAAGGAGAGATTGCTAGTGCCACCTCTTGGTGAGAAGAGCACAGAAAGTCATCCATTAGCATAATCTCAAAGGAAGGCGCAATTAGAAAAAGGATGTGTGCTTCTAGGAAGTGCTGACCACTCTCTCACTGATTCACACAGCAGTTACAACCACTCTTATTTCAAATTAACAATCACCCTTATTTCAAATTAAGATGTTTGTCGTATTTGATTTAATGAGGTGTATTGTATCCTTGCAGTTAAGCATGTGCTTAAATGTTTGGCTGGATTGGCACTAAAACCCATCTATGGCTTCTTTGAAAGTTTCTCTAGGAAAGTATTAAAGAAGTTAAATCCTATGTGAAGTGATTATCTTCAGCTGAAACTGAGTATATGTGGGTTCCTAAACTTTTGTTCTGTTTTTAAATATCTTCATTGTGCTGTGGTCCAAATACCTTGCATGTTTAAACCCTCCAGTAGTAGCTTAATGCTAATGCCACTGTGGAGGTTAAGTGCGAACCATTAAGACTGTGTCAGATTTCATGATGCGGGAAGAGCTTTGGATAAATGACTCAACACACAAACTTGTTGTAATCATAAGAAACAGAGTTCAAATGAAAGCTTAAATATAAAAGAGGATTACTTAAGCGCCACATCAGCATCAAGTAAGCTTGTACAGTGCCATTTATATTCTACCCTGATGAAATATCATCTGGAGAACACTGGGCACATTTTGCTTGCTTAGCTGAATCTATGAGTCAATGTATCAGAGGAGAGATTTGACCTTTATAATGGAAAAAGTCTTTAAGATTATTTCTGTCGAATTTCAAAAGAAGCCACACAGGCAAATCACAGTGCATGGAGGAAAGCATGGAAATCTCCATAAGAAAGCATGTGAACTCAGCAAAACATTGTCTGCAAGGCTTCCCTCATAAGAATTAAAAAGCAATTAACGCCTCTGAACATTGCATGCATGAATAGTAGCGAACTGTAAATAAGCCTAAAGAGGCACACAAAATAACAACTCTGCCCTCCATTTTCAAATAATAAAAGAAAAACTGCATTGTGCCTACATGTTTACTAAAAACACATTGATTAAAAGCATACAAATGCTACTAACTAAGCAATGGCCATGGCAAGTTTTATTCTTGTAAAAATGTAAATATTTAAATGAAATAGGAAGAGAAGACATGCTACACAGAAATAAGGAAGCTGTCCTACCTTGTTTTAGAATGGTTTTGTCTACAGGGATACCAGATCCACGTAATTTTAGGCTGAGGAATACCATACACAGTGCATGTCAACACTTGTTTGCTGCTCAGTAAATACAGATTGGGATCAGGGAATGATGACACTGCATTCTCATATATCTGGGGTTTCACTGTAAAGGGTAAAAATTGGAAAGGAGTTACAACCAGCTCATTTCCAATGTGTTGCATGATCATGAAAATATTACATTCCTTCAGCATGAGTAAGAAGAAAAATCCCCAGCAGAATAAAGAAAAACTGCATGCCTAAGTCAAGCCAGATGAGCAGTTAGTAACACATTTAAATCATCAGGAACAAGTATGTGACCATGGAAGACAGAAACTCTTCTAACGAGAACCAGTGTCCATCTTCCAATTTCAAGATGGGTCTGTCACTCTTCAACTGGGGATTGGATTTAGGTCCATGAAAGTCAGTAATAAAACCCACAATGACCTGAACTGTGCAAGATCAATGAAAATCTAGGTCAATGAAAATTTAACGTTTGCACGTTCAGGAGAAGCGTGGGAACATGTTGTAAACTTACCATTTACTGTAAGAGTGACTGTAAGATTCTTAGACAAATTCCACTGTCGTATGCTCAATATTATAGTGTAGTTTCCAGCATCTTCCTCAGCAACATCCTTGATGATTAATGAATAGTCTTTAATCATGTATCGGGCACACTTTTCAGCAGCAGGTAGCCCATCTTTTAACCTATTCAAAAGAATTCCAGAAATCAAAATTTGGAAAAATTGTTCCTTTATCTGCCTGTGTTATTTCACTTCACAGTATTTCCTGATCTTTGGGTGAGGATTGTATTTACAGTCTGAGATTCTGTTTACCAGAGATTTACCCTTCCCTTACAAATAAGATTGCTGATATTTACTAAGCACTTTGGAGAATATCATTCTACATATTAAAATTTATAAGGATCTGACAGGGCTCTATACTATTTGGGAACTGCTGAGAATTGCAACTCTGTCACTGAAGACCACAGTTTTCCATGCCTGTGCCATCATTTAGTCTAGAAGACAACCATTTTGGCTAAAAGTCATTCACACGATTAAGTGTTGCATCATCCAGCACTGGCCATTTCTTTATGACCTCAGACTACATCCTGGGATAAAGTATTACAGTAGCCTAAGCACAGCTGTGATTTTAGGAAGAGGAAGAGCAAGTAGATTAGATAAGCACTGAAGAATCAGATATCCTGCTATCAGGTGAATGTTTTTCAAGATAACAGAAAAGCAACTTAGAAAGTACTAACTGTTGTTCACACACATATTCCTGAAGAAGCACAGCATTCTTCTTCAAAGTCTAAAACACAGTGTGAAGCACATTTTGGTAGGCTGCTGTACGAAGGTTGGCATGATGTTAATAGAAGAGTGCAACAGTTCACTAAGATGATGGGCTTGTTTAAAATGATTCACAGGTTTTAGTAAGTATTGACAGAAAACTCTTACTGTTATTACAGGAGCACTAAAAATTGGACTAAGGACTAGGGATCCAGGCATTTCATGATATATATTTTACAGAATCACGGAACAGTTGGGGCTGAACAAGCCTCTGGAGATCACCTAATCCAGCCCTGTGTTCAAAGCTAGGTCAGAAGGCTGACCAAGATTATTCTGGTTTTGAATATCTTCAAGGACAGAGACTCTACAGCCTCTCTGGACTACTTGTTCCAGCATTTGACCAACCTCACAGTGCTAAATAAATAAATAAATACTCTTGTTTGAATTAATTTTTTTTTCAGAAGTTTTGGATCTATACGTGTAGTCAACAAGTTCAACCATTAAAGAAACAGAAAATACTGTATAAATGGCTAGCATCAGTTCCACTTTCATCCCATAATTTTACATGTGAAGCTATAAATGTAAGGGTTTTATAAAACAAAATGTTTGGAGCAAAAGTAATTTCTGGCTGTGAGTAATATAGACTCTCACTGTTCATGTATGTATGGTTTGTTTTCTTAATCAGTTTTGTCATAGACCCTTTGTTAAAGTGCAATGAATTGAGCCAGAGCTACTGGTGTTTAAAATGATTAAAAAAAAACAAACTTGAGATCATGAATAGATAACATTGTTTTATATAAAAAGTGGTTTGGGTTAATACAAAAAACTGTTCAAAAGATTTCTTAGCACAGTGTATGTGAGCCAAAGTGAACACTCCCATTGCTAAAGCAGATCTAGAACCTGCAGATCATCATATAATAAATTGAACTTCCCTTCTTTTTCTAATAGTACATGTCTGTATGACTCAATTCAGTCAATTATTTTAGTGTAAACCTTTCCTTTCTCCTGCTGCCTCAAAAGCAAATTCAGGTCTCATATTGAGGTCTGAATAAAGTTGCATGCAACAATGCAGTCAAGGTTGGTAAGGATATTTAGCTGTAGAGTGTTCATTGATTTCAGTAGGAGACATATCTAACGTATTTGAGGGTCTGAGCTTTGAGGTTTCCAGATCTTCTTCTTCTGCACTTGTTAAATGGAGATAGTGCTCCCATAAATTGTTAAGCGCCAGGACAACCTGAATCTTCCAATAAACCCCCATAACTGTATTGTCTCCAGTTTGTTGCCATTTCAAGAAGTCTTATTTTACCAAGGTATCATTTTTCATCTAAGAAGAGGTCCAGCATGCATATGTGGAAGTAACTGTTGTCCTACCATATAACCTCTGGAGAGGGAAATGCCTTCACTTTCATTGACAAACGATAGGATTTTCTTCCAGCTACGGTCTCCAGTGCAGTTTTTCTTCGACGTTTCAAATTAATAAACATTTTATCTTAAACAAAAAGAGAAAGGTGTACTGTATTACTGATTTTCGGCCTGCAAAAAGAGTTTTTCTGCTGAAGAGAACAGGAATCCAAATAAAACTGATCTTTAATAATTTTGGTATTTTCACATGGCAACAGCAAAAATAAAGCCTAACCTTTTAGAGATCCATAAAATATAGGGAAAAATATCACAAATACATGAGAACTGATACAGTTCCCAGGCCATGAATTTGCCTGGAGAAGACACACTCTAGCCAAATTCCCATTGTGCTTCCGTCAGAAAAAAAGGCACAAGAGATAAGGTGGTTTGTGGTACGTGGGAAGATGATCAGATGACCCTTCCACTCTTAAAGGCCAAGAATGAATGCATGTTCCAAAAGAAAATGTTCTTCCAGAGAGGATTGAAGGGACCTTCAGGAAAACAGCAAAGGAAAAAGCAGAAACTTGCTGTATCATTGGTGAGCAGCTGTTTCATCAGACAAACAAATCTTTATCACTTCACTGGAACGATCTCAACCTGCTGGAATTTGTTCTTTTCCAGTTGTATTACCCCATATTTCAAACTCTCTGGCAAGTTAACGGGTTTTATGTGATGCAATAAACCACAATGTTCATACAACACACTGGAAAATCTGTGGGGTTTTTTTCTCTCTAACCACACTTGAGCAAAATAAAACATTCAAAACATCAAAAATTGTTTCAGTGTCCTTTCGACAGTACCTGTAGTGCAATATTTAATCACATTTGCCATGTACATTGAAAATAACATACACAAGACAAATCAGTAGTTTAACTACACAAGTCAAGTTATAAAGATACGATCCTGCTTCTGCAAACCCTTATTCCCACAGGCTTTTTCTAATATAGGTATCCCATAGATGGAGCTGCTTATTTCAATAGGACTTTACACACTAGCTTCAACAGTTCCAGCTTCTGACTTTAATTTTAATCTAAAACTCAGTTTCTGACAGCTACAGCTCATCTGTTTAAGAATATAATAAGTGGATATCATGATTCATTCTATGCTTCCAGTGACTAAGTCCAGGGCTTAAGTAAAGAAAACGGACTGAAATAGTCTCTAATACCACCAACACACGGTGCTTAGTCCACACTTCCAAATGAGAGAGAAAAAGAAGTAGACCACTGAAAACATGGAACAAATCAATATTCTGACCATGAAACATCTGTCATAGAGATCATCCACCAACCGTTTGGTCTTTAATACCAAATGATGCTCCAAAGAGTCCTAATTGTAGCAGGATGCCACAAAGAAAGTAGCTTCTCATAGAATTCCAATGTACAAAAGTCCTAATTCACATAAATTTGAAATAACACCAGAAGTTTTCAGATTTCACATAAGGCGCAGGCCATAAAACAATACTAATGGGTTGCAGTATCTTGTGTTTATTTCATTTTTTTTAATGATCTGGCAGCAACCTGTGTATGGCTAGTGCATCTATTTCTTCACTTTTCATGGAAAACAATTAATAAGTACTGTAGAAAAGGAAGTGGGATTCTTATATTTTAAATCATCTTGTACACTAATTTTTTTTGCAAACGCTAGTTTAACTAATTGCTTCTACCAGAACTGACTGAGGACAGGGTGGGTAATCACAGTATGTAGCAGACAAGAATGAACAAAACAAACTTTAACTCTAGTGTCAACAAGACAAAAAGACAAAAAAAAGACAAAAAAGAAAAAAACAGACAAAAAAGAAAAAAAAAGACAAAAAAGACAAGACAAAAAGACAAAAATCATGCAAGAAAAGGCACATATTCTCTGTTTTCCCTCCTTTTTCCGTCCATGATGAACATGCTATAAATTCACTTCGTGTCAAGATGTAAAGCTATCTTATGCCCCAACTTGGTACATGAGCATTCAGTATTTGACAAATTTGCAATAATTCTTACCATAAACAATAACTGTTGTATTAACAGCTTTGATTGATGGCCCACTCTTCACGTGGCAGGTATACTGGCCTTTATCAATATCACGTACTTTGTCAACAACAAGGATACTGTAAAATATATTGGCTTCTGTATTCTTCTGGTCAATGCGCTGTGTTACAGAACCTCTCTTCCTTGCCTATAAAAGCAAAAGTGAACAAGACCAAGCTTAATCAAACAAATTTTTATGATTAGTAATGTTTTTATTTTACTGTACTTCCATCATACCTTAACTGAAAAATCCAGATTCTTCTGTACGGCACAGACATGAAAAAGATGCCTAAGGTTTCCAGACGGTCGACGATGAAAATTATAAAGTAACATTATATGGCAATTCATTCCTGTCTTCACCAAAGTTGTAACAGCATCCAGGCTAGTTCTTTCCAAATGAAGAGCAACCCTTCTCTACAGCCTGCCCTACCAAACACACCCAGCTCCCAATTTCGCCTTGACCAGCATTGCTCATAAAAATACCCAGAGTCACCGGCATATCGTTCAGTGCCTGGATTCAGTGTCTATAGGCAGCAGACCTACAGAGGAAGGCAGCGTTAACACAAGAAGGGGAGCATTCTGGAATCGCTACAGACGGAAAAGGGACTAGATTTGGCAAGGGAATAACAGGGTGGAACTGAAGATAATGTGAGTTTGAGGAGTTATTTCCTGCAACTCCCCCTCAGCCTTTGGCCTCAAAGTTTATTTAACCCAGGACATTTGTTGGTGTCTTGTAAACACTGAGCACCCTTCAGTTACCATCTAAATAAAAATAAAGCAGAATTACACAAGTGTGGTGCCCAGCTAGGGCTTGGTAAAGCAGCACTGAGCAACATATTTGGAGCATTTCTTGTGCTAAGTCATTTAATTCTGAGGTGAAAAGATGCCAGGGAAAATGGATGCAGTATGCAAGAGAGAATTGCATTAATCTTCATTAAACTAACCTATACAACATAATCATAATTTCAGCTTGTGATTAGGCACCAGTGAGATAATAAATGATCTTGACTTGAATCACCAGCATAAATCAATCTGACGTGAAAGGAATGGGAGTTGTAAACTTTAAAATAATGTCAAATTTCTTATCAGCTTTACACGGACTCCCTGGCATTTATTCCGTAAGTGACAAATATTTATGAGGATGCTCCCAATGTGGGGGGAGGAGAAGCACATTCAAGATCATTCCCGTAGTTGTCAAAACAAGAGGATTGTTCGTGTGACACTTAACAAAAGAGAGTTTGGCTAGCTAAATCAAAATATCTCTTCTAAACATGCTCGAGTTGGGTTCCTGACTGTCTGCCAACCTTTTAAATGGATGTGTTGAGAAAGACAGCCTCACTGAACACTTTTTTGTCAAAAGACAGAGCCCCTGCCTGGGTCTGGGTGATAAATTCCTACCACCTCTCCAGGTTGAAAAGAAGCTCCCAGGGATGAAACAATCCCAGCGTTCGTTCATGATTATGCAATATAACAAGAGTACATTGCATAAGCTTGTTTACTTATTCAGTTAAGCACCAGAAAGCAAAAAAGAAACCTTTAAAGACATGTCAGCAAGGGTCAAAATGATGGAATGTGAGCCATGGCAAGCATTTTGAGGCAAGATTCCTCCCAGGATGCTAGATGCAGCATGATCTATGGGAAGCCCTTGGTTTCTTCATCCCAACCCCAGCACTCACCTCTCCAGGATACGTCCACGTCATCTGCACTCTGGTGTTCCAGGCTGCGGTGACAGTGCAGTTAATTGCCAGGCTGTCTCCTTTCAGCAGCTTGACAAGACGTGGGGTGCTTAACTGAACATCAAAAATTGTGTTGGCTGCATGCGACAAAGAGGAAGAAAAGTGAATTAATGCCGCCAGGGCAGAGTGCTTAAAGACGAGCTGGGGAGTGGAGAACGCTACGTACTTTCTCGGTGTGTTAGGTATTTTGTGCTATATTTATGTCCACCGATGGTTGTCTCACAGCTCAGGAGCCCTATGAATTTGTAGGTTGCCTTAGGTATTCTGAAGCCTTTCATGCTGTCCCAGATTATTGTCTTGCCATCAGGAATTAGGGTTTCTCGTGGAATCTGGAAGTGTCAAACAGGCATCACAAAAACAACTTATCCTCATGCCACTCTCTAATCAAGGAGCTTAATAAAAAGGAATGGGGAAAAAAACACCCTAAAAAATGCCAATCAAAGTAGAAAGGATGACATTTAATTATGCAGATTTCTCAAGTCACATTTTCATCACAAAATAGAGGAAAAATATGGGTGAAGAATGTGAATGGTTTATTTGTTTCCAAGATTTCATTATTTATAACAGGATGTAATTTATGACACAATAGATTGACACTATCATTAGCCTCGGTGCTTCGGCTGCTATTCTGTTGGCTCCTGGTTGGCAGCTTAAGTGCTGCTCTTGGCAAACCTTTGCAATTAAGTATCCTGGTTTCACCTCTGAGACACAAACACACTTTTTTCAATGGAGGTGACAAATAATTTGCTGTTATTTTGTGGCTTTAACAAATTCCTGCCAGATTTTAATGTGAAGCTTCTTGTGTTTGTGTGGTCTAAAGGACTGGATTGTTTAAAAAAAAAAGGTAAGGACATGAACAGCTGTTCCAAAGTTGACAGGTCACAGAGTACAGGTCTCTAAGCCATTACATACAACACGAAGGGCAAATTTTAAAGCCACAAAGTTTACTTAGACACTTCTATTGAGAACTGCCAAATCATACTGAATGAGGAAAGTCATATCGACTAAAGATTTTTAAAAGACACCTTGAAATACTAAATACATCAAATTTTCACAGAAAACATATTTTTAAACTCTGGCACTTCTAAGTCCGTCAGAAGCTGAAGCATCAACAAGTAATTAGTGTAAGACCATCAGATGTTTTTAAACTTAAGACCTGAAATGTAATACAGACTAAAATATTGCCACATGGGACCACGTGTTCACTTTTTCAGCAGTAAAAAATATATTTTACATTAGGATCCTTTGAGTTTTAAGCCCCATTTTAACACGAAAAATCCCGAAAAGGCAAAGCATGACATAGACACTGAAGCTCAGACAAGATGTCTTGTTTCCACATTGTGATTTTTGTTCTGCCTTATTGATGGAATAAATGCCACCATTTGGATAACATAGAGTTCAGCTCCGAGTACAGACCCTGGATGTGACTTTACTTTTATAAAGCCTGCTTTTACAGTAAAAATAACATTTTTAAAGATGGCACAGAGCAGAGTTCGACTGAATTAGTGCCCTAAGCAAAGACTTCTGGGTCAACTAAGCACCTTGCAGCCCATCATTTCTCACTGCACACCCAGTTTCACTACATCCCCTTCACCTCTTTCTTCTCCTTTATTTGATCACAGCACTTATGGGTTGGCCAGCCCTCTACTTCCTATAGCCAAAATCAGCATGGGTGGCTGCCAGAGGCTGGGGGAAGCGTGGCCGTGCGGCACCTTCCTGCGTGGTACAATTTCTCTCTAAAACACAGCACCGTAGACGCTGCCTGCTCAGCACACGCTGAAAGCTGCCCTTGAGATCACCTCCACTCGTCTCATGCCATTTCCTCTGACAGAAATGCACGATGAATCAAATGAACAATAATTACAGAGCACAAAATGCTGCGGTAGATAGAATTCCTTATCTTTACAACAGCTGATAAGACACTATAATAAGCATGCAAATCATGAGGGAAGTGTCTGTTACACACACACACACAAATAAAGCCTATTACATTACAGGCTGCTGGCTACCATTCAACAATACCTTGGAGTCTATGAGCTCTGTTGCCATTCCTGTTCTAAATAAAACAAATATTCAAGGTTTGGTTTAACTAACTCATAGCTACGTTTTCAAGGGCTTCAACCAGATTTATCCTCTTGCAGCTTTGGTGGAAAATAAACTGCTTTTGAGCATCCTCCTCTACAGCTTGTCACATATCCTGTGTGAAAGAGTAAAGTCAGAGACTCCCTAGACTGATGTTTCCCAGGGAATGCATTCACTTCACATTAATTAGTTAATTGATGGGTTACTGAATTTGTATTAGCCTTACTCCAGGTATTGGAAAGTAATCAAACTACCCAGGAAGTGTCCACGTCTCAGAAATAAAGTGCTCATAAATATGAACCTGATGTGTGGCCCTTATTGTTGTGAGTTGACTGAAAATTCAACAGGTTCACTCGTCCCAGAGGCAAATCTTTGCCTGACACCCCTGAAAAACAGCTACACTTCTTTTTGTATATTTTTTGTAGCTTTGAGACTAAAAAGTTGTATGCATACACACATAAAAGTATAAACTTGACACTTTTAAGTTGATGCAACGAAAAATTTAGAAAAATGAAGTCTATGACTAGGAAAAGACCACTGTGACACAGCTGGTCTCCAGCTAAGTCTTAAGAGGGGAAAAACAAGATATTGCAAGAAGTCTCTTTTAGAGGGTTGAAGTTGTGGATGCCTCATCCCTGGAAGCTGGATGAGGCTTTGAGCAATCTGGTTTAGTGGGAGGTGCCCCTGCTCATGGCAGGGGTCTTGGAACTAGATGATTTTTAAGGCTCCTTTCAATTCAAGCCATTCTATGACTGTATGGTTCTATGAAACACCAATATTTTGTCTCAGAAGACATGATAGAATCATAGAATGTGTTGGGCTGGAAGAGAACTTTAAAGACCATCTAGTCCAATCCCCCTGCAGTGAGCAGGGACATCTTTAACTACATCAGGTTGCTCAGAGCCCCATCAAGCCTGACCTTGAATGCCTCCAGGGATAGAGCCTCCACCACCTCTCTGGGTAACCTGTTCCCATATTTTGCCACCCTCATAGATCAAAGGCAGTGGCTGGGTGCTCACCCTCACAGCCCTTCACAGCTCTACCCTTTCTTGTTTTGGTTTCTTACACAGCTTTCCTCCACGTTGTTCTCCCCTGCCAACCCCACTGGTTCAGATGACCTGTTTCCCACTCTCAGAGAAGCACTGTTGCTTTGCTCTGCCCTACACCACCTCCCAGGCTACCACCTAGAGACATGGCATCATCACCACGTGGATGGTACTGGACAGAGGATCCCAGAATTACACAATAATTTAGGTTGGAAGGAACCTCCAGAGGTCACCTGGTCCATTCCCTGTAGAGAGCAGGGCCAATGTAGTTCAGGGCCTTATCAAAAAGTTGGGTCACTTGGTCTCACAGGAGAAGTAGAAAACATATGAAGAAACACAGTGCTGGAACAGTGGGTTTTTCACTGAAGCAACAGAGGATAAACCCAGCTAAAATAATAGCTTACAGGTGTGTACCAGCAGATAGTCAGAGACATTCAAAGAATCAATTTTTTTGGGCTACAATAAACATGGAATTTATTGTCTACACACTTATCTGCATGAACCACATTTCTGTGGCTCCTAGTGCAATTTTGGCCTTTTACCTTCTTTGTACTTTGTTTCAACCCTGACACCAGTTTTATTGTATAGACTGTGCTTCCTTCTTTGCTCAGCACCAACCACCAAATCTTTTTGGCACCTGGTGGCATTAACATAGTACTAGCACAAGGCAGTGAAGTATAGTAAAAGTATAGTAAAAATGGACTTCAGAGTTTTGAATGCTTGTTGGGTTTTTTTTCATGCTTCCCTTTCCACCAGTTTGGGAAGGATGAGGTGGCATCATTAAGAATTCAGACTGCCCAGCTGTGTGACTCAACATTCTTGATGGTTTTTTTTTCTTCTTTTTATTCCTCATGCCAAAGCTTATTTCCCTCTAGGCCTGTGACTGCCATTGTTAATTTTATGGCAGAGAATCCAAAAGGAGAGTCAGAGAAATCAAATCATTGTACCAAAAGGTGAAGCTTTCTCCATTTAGCAAGATAAAAGCACAAGAAGAGGTAAGAGAAGTGCATACCTCAGTTGCAATAAGGTTTATCATATTTTAGGGATCTTCAATGAGGCTGTGAGAATCATAATGAACAGAATGACAGTTTCAGAGGCTCTGGCTATCTGTCTTGTAAGCATTAGATCAAAACAATCAATGGATTTTTTTTTCAGGTCTTCCTATGATGAGGAAGCCAAAGGGCCATCAGCTGTTGCAGATACAGGTTATAAGAGGACCTGAATTTGAAATAGGAATGAAAAGCTCCATCCCCATTTCCCAATCCCTTCTTTATTAGCTTCTTGATTTTTAAGACTCCTCCTACGTTGTAAATGATTTCCATGCTACAGAATACGATTTGTACAGACGTTCAGCCTGGAGATTAGAGCAACACAGCAATCAGGATTGATTAAGGTAAAGACATAGTTAAAGTAAAAATCATTTGTAGTACTGAACATGAATAATAAACCTTTCCCACATTGGTCCACTAAAACTAAGAAGTAGAACTACACAGAAACAAAATGCTGGAGGCAGTGCTCATGCAACTGTAACGAGTCTTTCCAGAAGGGAGAGATTATAAAAAATATTTCATATTTTCACTTCCTGGCAATATAGAATGCAGAACCTAATGATTCTAACACTGGGGGTTTCTTTCCAGCTCCAGAGGACTACATTATGGGGAAAGACTTCTTCTTTTTATCACTGAACAGCAAACACAGAATAGCTTTTGCTAGCTCCCTAGAAGCAGCATGCCTGCAGCTGTAAAATGCATTTAACACTTCTCTTAATTGCTATGCGAGCAAAAACTTGCTGGAATCTTCATATATGGGTGTCACAGATGATAAATAAAGATATGATGTAATGCATTGTAGCTTACATGCTTCAGGAAATTCTGGGATTAATTAGGGAAAACATTTATTTTTCCTGGAATGCAAAACATGTAAGCAACCAATCCTTTCTTTTGAGACTTGGCTCCACCTCTTCTTTCTCCTTCCCAGAGTATTACATCTGGTTTTGTTGGTGTAAAGATGTGCATTACCACAATCCCAAGCTAAAGGGAAGTTGATATGAATAAAGAAAGTAGAGATGTCTCAGTCTGTTCCAAATAAGGAAAAAAGTTATTTTTATATTGTTTAAGAAAAAAGAAACCTGACAGGAATTTTCTCAGTTAGGATTTTAACATGCTGAGATTTCAGGTACAGCTTTACAGTGCCCAGATAAGTGCCCACTTTACAACATTCACCCTATGGAAGGCCAAGCCTCATTTACTTTTGATTCTACAGCCACAGAATCTTGTGCATCACCCATCTTTGGTGCACTTCTTGCAGGAGAACTCTGTGAGTGTACAAACACATATGGTAACATTCTAAGTCAGACAAGTTTCTTTTCTCTGTGTTTTGCTTTCTTTCATGTGATTTAGCAGGTGGAAGCCAAGGAGCAAAATCAGTATCTGTAATAGCAAAGCAGCACTGGATAGAATATGCAAATCTCCAGGTCAAGTTAAAACACATGGTCAAATCTGTGCCTGGTGAAAAACTCTGTAGTGAAAGAGAAATCAAAGACTTGTATTAATCTAGATAAGTATCCTACAGTGGCATTATTTAGCAATTGCATGTTATTCTATAAAAAGACAAATTTCTTCTCCTTGTAACAGTCACAAGTATTTATGCTACTATGTACAGAACTCCCTTTATTTAGAACCAAAATATCACTGGCACCTCCACCTAATATTTAAGCCAAAAAAAAGAACTTTAGAAAAAGAAGCACCATTCACTGTCTTGATACCAGGTACCATACTAGATACATATAGGTCAGTTGGCTATCCAGGTAACTCCCAAGGCATCTAGGAAAGAAATGGTTTCCCTGAAAAATGAAAAAATGTCTAGCTTGTCTAAAACTGGCACCACTCTCTCAAATTCCTACAAAGAGAAACCATCTCTTGCCTGATAAGTGCACTTGTGTGCAAAAGGAAGCAGCAAAGTCGCTGGTGGGAGTGAGGTAGGGCAAAGGCTTGCAAAAATCCTTGTACAGCCCCGGAGAGTCTCCAGGGACCCTGCTTGTCGGCTGTTCCAGAGGACAGAAGAGGAAAGGGGAGGAAGGGCAGAGGAAGAGGCAGGAGGAAATCTCTTCTCTTAACAAGAAAATCCTTCCTGGACTTTAGAAACCTTTGTCGATGAAGATTTGATAGAATGGTTCGAAAAGTCTAATTTTCTTCAGAAAATTCCCATCCAGTGTAAAAGATGTGATGAAGTCCTTCAGTAGAGATAGGAAATGAAGCCTCCAGGGTTGAAATATTTCTACACACACCGACACCCAGAAATCTTGTTTAAGAAATACTAAATTGTTAATATATTTCAAAAGCATTGCAATAGTTGTAAACAAGCAAACAAAAACCCCTCATCCATAATAACACTTCCAGAGTATCTTTGGATTAAAGTACCTTTTTTAAAGTAACAGCAATGTTTGGTGCTGTGACTCTGCATGGAACGATCATTTCTCTTCCCACAGTCATGTGTATTATTTTAGGTATATCACTGTGCATCTCTACAAATGGATTGCCTGTATCTGCAAGAGAAGAAAAATAAAAAGTTAGTATCTGAAATCTTAAGATAGCATGTGGAAATTTCAGTGGTGTGTACAACCTTGAAAGAACAGAATAACCCTGTCCATCATGAAAGCTAGATAATGTCGTCAAATCAATCTTCTGTTTACTTTTATCTAAATAAGTTCAGCAAAATACTGTTAATTATTTGAACATTTATTTACCACCCAATATCAACAACAGTACTCTGGTATCTCCTTTAAGATCCAGGACAGCTGAAGTACATTTTTCTCATTACAGCATCACCTCTGCTGCAGAGATATGTGTTTCTTATTTCAGGGTATTTCTATTTTATTATCACCAGGAGAAGTAATTATATGGGAAGTGAGCTGAAATTCACTTATCAGGAAACCCCTACACAGGACATGTTCCTGCTCTCTGCAAGGAAATTGGTGGGAAAAACTAATGTTGACTTCACAAGGAGAAAGAATCTACCGCGATTACCCAGGCATGTTCTCAACTCTGAGAATACTCTGAGAGTTAATTACTCTCCTCCTTCCTACTATCACAATACCTATATGTCTCTTTTTTAAGTGACAAGGTAAATGAAAATGCCAGGAAAACATTAATTCCTTTCAACTCAATAACTAAAGCTTGGCAGAGTAATTTACCGTCCCTTGAACAATCCCTTTAACAAAGGACATTGTCATAAATAGCTTGCGCTGGGAACAGGGAACATTGCTGCGGCTATTGTTTGGACCACTTAACAAAGAGGGGCTCAAGCCACAGCCTCTGGCTCCAAATCTTCTTTGCAGGTGTTCAGATCTGAAGGTTTGACTCACATTGCAGATAGACAACCTCAACATTCACTCAAGGTTTGAGTTTTAACTCTTTAAAGAGCAGAACATTCAGATCTTAATTTTGTGCTTATCTAGAGCTACAATGTTTTTTCAGGCAAATCCTCTTATTTTCACTCAGTCAAAAACCTTAAATATAACAATGGAAGTCTTTCTTGGGTAAGAAAAGAGCAAAGCTAGCAAGAACTTACCCTTTATAAAACCTCAAATTGTAATACTTTATTCAAGTGTTCTGGTCCCAGACTTCTGTGTGTTGACCTATGTTCACTCAAGTAGTTCTTCAAACAAAATACATCTCTTTGACTTCTCTTCCAAAAATATAATCTGCACTTCCCAGTGTCATCAAACTGTTCTGCCTTTAGGATCTTCTTTTCTTATTATATGCAATAATATTTTTGTTCGAGACATCAAACAGGAAGAAAAGCAAATTCTACTCTAATTGATGCTAAGGAGAATGGTAAGGTAGAGTATCTCAAACATACCCCAGGATGCAGAAGAAGTTTTCCTAAAGAGGTTTAAAGAAACTGTTACATAAACTGTCTGAAATGAAAGCCACAATGCTTTATTTAATAATAGGTGTTAAACATCCACTGAGATTGTAAAAGGAACTTGTGAGTAATAGAGCATACGTATGTAATAAAAAATACCCTAAGGACTTGTTAGGCTGACATTTCCTCTGTAGCATGATTCAAGGAAAGACCAAGAATGAACCTGTTTGTAGCACGGTAGAAAAACCCTATTTGTTTCAGGGGCTGCAGGCACCAAAGAGGTTGCCTGCCCCTTAACATCACCAGACAGATGGATTTACTGCTCCCCGAAGACTCGTTCGTCTTTGTCACAAAATTAAGAGCTTCTGCCCCAAACCAGCAAGCTTTGCAAAGTAGTTTCCTGTATCATAATCTCCAGATCATTACAAGTGTGAGGAAGAGCTGTTCTGGGGACTATCGGTGCTGTCTGCAGACACAGTGTCACCACTGGCTGATGCCAATATCAAGGGAGTGGGGGCTGTGTTGCTCAGACCTTGCAGGATTCCTGTCTGTCCAAAGGAGGGACAGGAAATGAGCACAAAACATCACGCTTGGCTTTTTTTCCTTCTTCTTCGATGGAAACGCACGTTCGCAGCCGGAGAAGCCGATGAAGTGCTCTATAAAGGCCCCGGCTGCTTTGGTTAGGCTTTACAGCTCAGTCACAGCCTGTCTTGGTACACTCCCTGCAGAGGTACACCAAGGCGTCTCCATGCCCCCGCTATTCGCGTGCAGAGCTCCCATTGACATCACCAGGGACTTCCGCCATGGGCCGGAGGGCAATCGATGGCCCCAAGTGCTCCAAATGTCTTCCTGCTTTTGATTAAAAGAAATACGCATCATGTTTCCTAGCACAGTTTTGTTTTCATAATGAGTGTGGAGGCTTTTCCTGATTCCCTTTGATTTTATTCTCCTTCCGTCTTAATGGCCATAAGGGGATACTCTCGGTGCCTTAAGACCAGAATGTGGTGCAGGCTCTACCAGCCCGGATCAGGTAAAGCTGAACCCACAGCAGCATCAGGGTAGGTTATGTCACGTTGGTAGGGTATGCCAATGACATGGAATCCTTCTGTCCCCTAAATAGTAGCACTCCTTGCTTCTTTTCCGCCCTCCCCTTTCCCTCCTATCATAACCTCAGTAATTGTGAGTGGGTCCTGCTACATTTCCTCCCAATTCCTTCCTGAGGCGAGGTAAATGCCATCCTTCCCTGAACAGCTCGCTGGCAGCACATCTGGGATGACCTAACCTCCCACCAGCAGTCTTCTGGGACAGCTTCACTCACATTTATGCTCAGAAAGCTCTAGACATAAAAAGAATATGATGGATTGACCTATCTTAAAGACCACATCCAAGTTACACACTCAGCTCCACTGGAATTTGGAATGGAAGATTTAAAATTGTTGACCTTGGTTTTTGAATTCTTGTTTGGGTTTGATTTTTTTTTCTTGAGAGAGCTGCCTGCAAGGGTAGCAAAGCAAAAGATGGACAGCCAGAATATTTGCATATGCTAAAGGTTACTTTAAAAGTCAGTTTAGCGTATTTTTAAATTGTGTCTGGAATTAGTGACTGTGTGCTGGTTTGACTGTGTTCCTTACAATATCTCTCAGTTACAATCAACATGAAACCACAAAGAGCATCCATGAAACCAGAAAATCCATGAAGGTCACTTGCTATATTGTTAAAGAACATAAATAGCAGCTTTTTCTTAAGCTGGTTGGCAGCCAGATACCAACTTGATAAGAGACCTAACACAAGCAATATTATGTCTGGTATCAGTAACATGTCTAGGCTATTTATGGGGTTTGCACAAACAACTAAATTAGCCAACACTGAGATGCCAAATTCAGAAAGGATGGAGAGGCTCTTTATTTCCACAAGCTTCAGCTACTGTTCTTAGGTTTGTTTTGTTTAATCTGAGCTATGTAAGTCAGTGTACTTACACATACATTTGCAAGAAGAGAAATCTCTGCAGGAAAATCTGAGCTCCTTGAAATCTCTGCAAGCTTGTCCTCTAAAGTTCTTCCAAAATACCTACTTACACCTGGCTCACCATGCAGATGTTTTTCAGATGTAGAGACCCAAGACTCTTTTCCCTCACACATGTGAAAAGGCCAAAGTCTTTACCAAATACAGACATGCGAACTTAATTGAAGTTAATGGGCCAATTGCCAAATTCCCGTTTCTACTGTAGGGATTCACCCTAACGAGCTTTATCCCAGCTAAATTAGTAGGGCTGTTCAGGAGTAATTAGAGGAGAACCTTGCACACCGAGAGTTTGTATCTTACACATCTCAAACACAGACATATCTCACAGAGATAGGTGACCAATCTGTTAGTGTTGTCACTGGGGAGAAAGGGGGAATTCTGTCATGGAACTCATCTGACCTCATTTTAGACATTTCATAGAATCATAGAATCATGGAATGACCTAGGCTGGAAGGGACCTTAGAGATCATCTAATCCAATCTCCCTGTCATGGGCAGGGACACCTCTCAACTAGATCAGGCAACACATGGGGACTTTGTTTTACAATGAGATGGATCATGCACCTCTTCAACCCACTCCCATGTAGTTATCTATTTTCCATAAGGAAAAAAATCCCATTTTGTATGTCTGGAAGCACAACACTTATCTGCAAGAAGGGCTGTTCCATTCTTGCCTATTCTTAGCCTGTAAAATCATACTTTTTCAACTCAAACAATTTCCAAACCTTGAAGGAAGACTTGAGATATAAATCAATAATCACAGAAGTCGGAGAAAACAAAATAAAAAAGAGGAGAATGCTTTATATCTGGAGCACATTCAGACACAAAGCACTGCTATCATAATTGTACAGTGATTTTTAGGCAATGGTTGCTTGTTTTCCTTTGGGGCTAGTTATACTACGCTATCATTGACATAGGTCCATAATACACACAAAACATGGTTAAAACTCTTAAGGAAAAGTGTTCTTACTCATGTTAGCCAGGAATTCCACACTACAGCAATTAACTTTGTTCAGAAAGCTACCTCTAGAAAGGCTAATGGTCATTAAGTCACTGAGTCATTGAGTCGCCATCCCTGAACGTGTTTAAGTGTTGCTTAGATGTGGTGTTGGGTGGTATGGTTTAGGGGTGAACTTGTAGTGTAGGGTTAACGGTTGGACTCGATGACCCCAAGGGTCTTTTCCAACCTTAATTGTTCTATGATTCTAAGAAGACTTTTTCAGGTGTATCCCTCCCTCATGATGGTTCATCTTAGAAATATATCTGTTTCAGTAGGAGCTATAAGCTTTGGTGAGGAAGAAGGGCCTCGGAGGGCTTAGTGCATGGCCTTTGACGCTGCCAAGGCATCCACAAATGCTCCGCTCACCACAGTGTACTATGATGTGAAGTCCATATACACGCAATGACAAAAGCACTGCAATTATAGGTGATTGACGTCAGCAAGTCCTAGAGGGCTCTGTTTTGTAACAGGAACCTCATTAGACTCTAAAAATGCGTCTGCATACTTCATACAGCTGTAGCATAGCTTTATTTCAACTAGTTTCCTTCTCATAACAGAAGCAATATCATATTATTGACTCCGACAGCGTAAGCCAAAATCACTCTGCTCATTTGTTAAAACTGTGCCAAAATGCAAAGACAGAAAAAAGGCACAGAGAGGCAGAGTTTCCCAGGCCTCAGCAGGTTCTCCTGTCAGTACATTACTTCTGAATAATAAAAAGAAAAGGGAAAAGAAAAAGAAAAAATCTCCCTTTCTCTAAGCTTTCAGGGTATTTCATCATCCTACTGCTTTGTTTTTTTTCACTTGTTGAGTTATTTTGCCTTTGATACTTCTGATCTTAAGAGACCCTTTTGGGGAACTCTTTGGATGCCCTCCCTGTTCTGCAACATAGTACCTTTAGGGGTATGGGAGTCTATCCATTCAAGCTAAATCTTAAATTCATGTCAGCTCTGGGGCTAGATCCAGCTCTCTGTCAACAAGTGGACCTCCCAGGAAGATGCTATAAACTCAGCACTTGCAGAAGACAACTCTAGAGTTTGAAAATTCTCGCAAAACCCCAGATGTTTTGGCACTTCAGAGGTTTACATTGGGAATCATTCCCTAACGCTAAAACCCTTCATTTTGGACAGTCCAAACTGAGACACATCTCAACTCAAATATCCAAAATTTGTGCACATTGGACCTTCCAGGCATTGGCAAGAACAAGTACTTTTGGGATTTGTATCGTTAATTACCCATCTCTGATTTGTCTCACCTGACTTAAATCATCTCAGAAGAAAACAACTATTCTAAGCTTGTTCCCCAGATTGGTTGCAAAGTCAGTGATGAGAAATACATACCAGAAGGTCCTTTTCTCTCTGTTAAGTACAGAAAAAGAACAGACAACTGACTCAGCCTAGAGATCTGAGTTTAAAAAAGAATATTTTGAATGGTGCTTGACTGAAATACCAATATATTACTCATTTTGCAAGGAAAAGTATGCGGTCAGAAAACATGCACAGCAGGAGTGTGAGGGCAGACAGGGAGGGGGAGAATATGGAGTAAGAATTGGGCTACTAGCCTAAAGCCAAGTACAACTTCACTTAGAGAAGAATTCTCTGTTGCCCCAGGATTAAGAGATTAATCTTGTAATTAATAGTCGAATGTTGTCTTCATCACATGAAGTAGCAACATTTCAACTTGAATCACAGTTTCTTTCATTTCTTGCAAAAATCTAACCTTGATGCATCACTGCAATTGAACTTATATTCTTTTCCCCTGTCATACCATGCAAACAACTGATCAAAGGCAAGAGATGATTAAAGAATGAAGAGAACTGCACATTTTTAAAGACAGTGAATGAGCTCCAGCAACTGGAAAAAAGTGTCTTGGAGATACCAGAACAAAGGCAAGCAGAAAAAAAAGCCTTTAGTGCTGTCCCCAGGGAAATCTACATAGGTTTCAAACCAGCCTGCTGATAATTTGGTGTTTCTTGAATGTCTTTATTCCATAATTATCTCTTTTCAAGCAGAAAATTCCCCATGCCTCTCTCCAATGTGCACAGTGAGTGTTCATTACAAATCTTTCCACTTTACTACTGGGCTGCAGTTGCATAACGAGACAAGGTCTGAGCGGTTTTCGGTCCGAGACAGCGGAGAAATTGGCAAAAAGGCTTTTCTTCATTTCAGATTTTTCCCGTGGCTCATGATGGAAGTCAGGCCATGAGTTTTCTTAAAGCAACATCCAAGGCACTTAAGAGAATTCATTTCCCCAGCTTGATGTCTCAATTTCTGAGCTGTGTGTGGTCAAGAGTTGCTACAGCACACACTGCGCACTCACTCCCCTGTGCAACTCAGTAGTGACCTCTCCAGCTGAAAGAAGGGTGGTGTCAGGACTAACTTCTGCAAGAGAAGTCACCAGCCTTCCTGTCCTTGATCACCCAAACATGGGACTTCAGAAATGCTTCAAGTCATCCTGGGGCACGAGGGACTTACAGTCTCCTTCTCATCATCTCGCATCTTGTTTTTGCCTAAAGAAGTTCATCTTCTGCCATTGCATACACTCACTACTGAACCAAAGGACTTAGTTGGTTTATTGTTTGGGGTTTTTGGTTGTTGGGTTTTTTGGTTGTGTTTTTTTGTTAGTTTTCTTTAATCCAGTTCATATTCAGTACCACTCCAGTTATGGAAATGAATAACAATTTTAAAATAATAAGTGATGACTTCCTGTACAAACAATATCAACTTTCCTGATTTGGATTCTGTGTTTGTAAATAGCAACTATTTGTTCTCTTCTGCAGCATGCTAAGACATGGGAAACAGCCACCTCAGTGATCCACATGGAGCTAATATGGGAAATGGACTGACAAAACGTCCTGCCGCAGGAAACAATACAAAACCAGGAGAGATCCAATTTTACAAATGTTTATTTCCTAAGGACCCACAAATTCATTTAAGGTAAAACTAAACTCAAGAGAGGTAGTCATCACTGAGGATTTTGTTACCCCTGTCTCACCCACCCACCTCAGCCAGATGACTGAATTTCACGTATGTTCACAGAAATAATTGTTTATATCAAATATTTTCTTTCCAGCTGCTAATGCTACACTCATCAGGAAGGGGGAGTATCTTGTTTCTTTTCAACCTACTCAACAATTCCTCCTGAAATTGTAAAATTTTTGAGGACCAATATACCTTTCCCCATCTCATGGCAGAATGAAACTTTGAATGAGCATTTAATAAGCAGCTACCTTACAGCCTCCCTCATTATCAATAATTTGCCCTAACTCTCATATGTGCTTACTAGGACACAATACTTAAGTGCTAAGAAATTTGTTTTCAGATAAAAAGGTTGTCAAATTTAGAAAATTAATATTCCAGAGAGGTCTAAGCTTGATACAGGTTTACCCCTTAAACATTTTACTGTTTTTTGCCAAAGCGGAAGGAGAAACATAATCTAATCCTATCTTCAACAATGACATCAACATTTAATGACTGAATATCCTTAAAAAAAATAAAATCAACAAATCAAAAACACTCAGTCAGTCTTCCCCTGAACTGATACTGGGGGGAGGGGGAAAGGACGAAGAAATGGGGCCATGCAAAAACTGTTTCATCAATGATACATTTATCTTCCATCACCATGTGAGTTAGATAATATTGATTCACATACATCTAATTGAGAGTTTTTCAGATGCAAGCCAAGCTACGTACAACTTGGGAAACAGTGAGGAGATAGAAAGATTGGTTGTGTGTTCCATTTGTAAAAATTCAGGATCCAGAAAAATTAACACATTGAAGAGGAAAGAGGCCAAGAGAACCTAAAGGGATCTCTTCCATCACAAAGTGGGTTTAGCAGAGAGGTTCTCAGTCAGAGTCGCAAACATCCTTGCTCTTCTTACATGGTGAATAGAGAGGACTGTGTGTAGAGCTCAGATACAGATAACGTCCAAGGTGGGAGGTTCAAGAAGGTCCCATGATGGGGAAACTTACAGAGGTCTTCCAAAGAAAATTGTAAGTTTTCCTAGGCAGCAGGAAATGCTGGTCAATAAATGAATAACCCGCTCTGGTTATGCTTCCTTGGGTGTATCTGTAGTTGGATATCCAGGGAATTATACAAAAATAGTTGGGAGACAAAAACACTCTGTGGTATATTTCATACAAAGGAAAGCAGGATGAACAGCATGAATTATTCAATAATTCTCAACAAAGCAACACACAATAATGGGAGGAACCACCTTATTTTCTATCACTGTAGTGAGAAGTCCACTTCATTCTGCTTCTTCACAGGACCAGCCCCACTCTTCATGTCACAAAATGAAAACAAAGGCTAATTCACTCTGATGTGAACTCATTAGAAGAAGCAGACAAATAATTTGGAAAACTTCCAGTTGCACATTCCCTGTATTACAGGCTTTCAAAATCTGTGAATTCTGATATCTCACAGTAATCTATTAAGTTTAATCTGTAAAAATCAAGAAAGTTTCAAGTATAAAATTAATCTGTAAAATGTTTATTATTCCTTTTATTATTACGCCTATTGAATTTAACTGTTCTGACAAGTGTCTGATTAATATCCTGCAAGAAAACAGGATTAGAAAGCAATTTCTGTTAAAGCCTAACTGACCCAGTTCCAGCATTTCCCATACATTACCCAATACTTGTTTGCTGAACACAGTTTTGTGCTTACTTTGATTCTGTTTATCCTAGATTTTTACAATCTGTGTAATATGGACTACAGAGTACATTTCTGAGGGTGACTTAACATGCAAATAGTAATTTTCTACAGCATGAGATAATTCAGTGATCTGAATAGACAGCTTTAGCACCCTTCAGCTGCCTAGAAATCTATAATCTTACACAGACAGGTTAAAGTGGACATTGTACCAGATACATGGTTTTCATTAGTCATCATCAGATGCTGTAAGATATGATTTCTCTGGTATCCATTTCAGTTGGATTGGTTCTTTTTCTTTCTTCATTTTTTTCCTAACAGATAAAACACTAGCATTTGTATTTGCAAGCTCCGAAAAAGTAGATTTTATACATTAATCGGTAAATTATAGTGACATTTTGCAAGGCTGAAAATACCATTCAAAACTCTGTATTTAACTCCAGCTAAAATGCCTTATTTATCCGTTTGGCTCTACTGAAGTGCAAGTACCAGGAAGTGTTAAAAAACATAATCTTACCGTTAATAAATACATAGACTGTAGATTCCTTCTTCTTTTTCGCTGGACTTGTTGGGTATTTGCAGCTATAGTTTCCAGTGTCACTTGCTTGAGTTCTGCTCAAGGTCAGACTGCTGCAGTACTGCTTCCCATTCCTTCCACAGGCATATTTAATTACTTTCAGCCTTTTGCTATCCTTACTTAGAGTTTCAGGCAAAGACCATGAATGAACCATTTCCCCCCTGCAAATACAGATAAGGAAGCAGGAACAATTATGTTGGGCTGCAATTATATAGCTCCAGTTCCCAAGCTTTCTTTTTTATTATATCAGGCTATTTCTGGGGTTCTCTTTTATCTTGTTTTCCAAAAACAACAACAGAAACAACAAAGAACCATTAAACAATTGCCATTGAAGTTCACTCCCCACCTTTCCCCACAACATAAGGTTTTGGTTTTTTTTTATTTCAGTTACAAAAAAGGAAAGTGTCAGGTGTATGAACGACCACATAAATTATTTGAATCCAACTCAGCTGGTTACCTGCAGGTGAGGTTTAAAGTCTGGCCTGCTTGAACAATGTGCTGTCTGCCATTTATACTCAGCTCGGGAACTTTTAATTTTGATCCTGAACTAGATCCTAGAAAAACAAAGAGAGGAGAAAAAAAAAAAAAGCATTAACAAAGACAAACCATCCTGTTAGCAGTCCACTTACATTTATGGTGTTATCCTGGAAGGGGAAAACAAAGAAAATGGTGTGCCCCCCCTCACCACACATACTCTCTTCCTATGAGTAAAACCCTGCTGTCCTTACTCAGGACTCACATAATCTTCCATGAGAACTACTCAGGAAAGAGAGTAGAAGTGAAAGCTATGCAAGTTTCAGTCAGTGACTTTGCTCTCAGACTGTTCGCTGAGCACAACGTGGAGAAAGTTCAAGACCTTGCAGCCACACGTCTAACCAAGGAAGTGTGCCCCAAAGCACTGCTGGCTGCGTTTCCTTAGGAAACACCACCACGACAGCCACTTCAATGGGAAGGGGAAAAGTCAGCCACTTCCATGGCAAGAGCCACGTGTTGACCTCTAAGATACCAAACTCTCACTCAAACAACTTGCTGCAAAGGGGGAACTGCTCTGGGAGGAATGAAAGGGAATTAAGGATTTTCCCTTCCTGACTGAAGGTCGCAGCACCTATGGACCCCCACTGGCTGCAGGCTTCCTATCAGTGAAATGGTGTCAAAAGGTAACTGGAAGGCTCTAATAAATTTTGAGAACAAGATCAAGGCACTGCCCAGAGAAGATTTGCTGCTTATTGAGAAAGCAAGTCAACTTGGCCCTGGTCATGCCCAGACCGTTCTGATACGGGTGAATCCTGGCTGTCAATATAACATGAGGTGGCTTAGGACGCTTGGAAACATCTTGGAAGGCTTCTCACAGGCCATGTGAAGGCAATTTTTAGGAAGCCCATGAAAAAGCTCCATGGTCAGAAGAATAGAAGAACATCAGACCTTCCCCCTCATCAAGGCAGCAAGTGTGGGAAAGGCATAATGTTTTATCTTTGCCCCACAACAGACTATGGCCACAAGAGCTTTCATGGCAAGCAGACAGAAATGCATGCCTTAGAGAAGAAACAGTCCTTGATCCATCCCATTGCCCTCACACTGACAGCAAAGTGTTCCAGAAGCTAGGAACATAACAAGAAAATATTTTGAAACACTTGAAGTTGAAAAACAAACTTTAAGTCTAAGCCTGGACCCCAGTGTAAGTTGTGAAGATTTCAGTGTTGTGAGAAAGGAGCAGAGAGAACCCCAGATCACTTTACTCCAAAAGAAAGTATTTCTTTGTCAACATACAAGAGAAGCGTGTCATGTAAACAAGGGTAATGCAGATTTTCAACAAGAACTCAGTCAAGTGCAGTTTCAGTTTAGCTATTTTAAGCCCTTCCAAGACGTCCCTGCCACAGCCAAATACAAACAGCTCTACATATCAAAAATGGTAGAAATAGATGAATCTTACTTGGCTGTTACGAATCACCAACTGAAGAGGCCTCCCTCCTTTGTTGCCAATAGAAGCAACTTTCAGGTGAGATTGGCAACTAAATTTTGGCAGTATAAACCCTCCAAAGCTAATGGCTGGTCCAAATTCAGCAGCTTTCACCCAGCAGCAGATGTAGCCTCAGATTAGAGGATGAATATCAAATCCTTGTTCTGAGATGTGGACTTGAAATCCATCAGTCTCCACTTCTGGATAGAGATGCTAAAAGTACAAAGATTTTGTACAAAAGGTGAAGAGGCATTGCCTTCATGTGCTGGGTTTTGGGGGTGGGGTTTTTTTTGAGGATCCAGCTCTGCTCCATTTGGCTGTACGTATTTCCTACTGATTCCCTATAACATCGGTAGAGACACAAGGTCTAAATCACCTTCTGGGATTACCTAGCACAATTCATGAAAAGAAGCAAATAACTGATTAGGTCTGCAAAATTGCTTACTACAGCTGTTGAGAGATCTCTTCCTTAGCAATATAGGAAATGTACACTTTAGGGCTTAACAAACCTTTAACTAACTTTTGGCATCTAAGTTGGTTATATTTATCTGCACTTTTCTTTTTAGCCCTGTGTATCTCACTTAAGCTGTGGCTCCAGTAGTTTTTCTGTATACACCATTATCCATCCTTATGCAAAACCAGTTTTAAAGGGTTTACTTCCGCACAGATGTAAACTAAATTATAGCACACTTGAACGGATTTCAAGCAAGGACATAACAAATTTTCAGAATAAAGAAGTCCTCTGAACTGTGCCACAAATATTACCAGAAATTTGAAGGGTGAAACTGCACAAATAAATACACAGACTTCCTCTGCGATTTGTCTAGACAATCATACTTCTAACTAGAAATGAATATATTATGCCGGCTGTTAAAGAGGGAAGAAAAACGATGCAGCAAATCTTTCAAGAAGCAATTTGTTATGTGATATACTGCAAAGATACATTTTTCTCACCTACCAATTATGGATATCAACTCTGAGATGCTGGGTCTCCCAAAGAGCGCACTGTGCTGTTATGGGATGATCTCCCATAGATGCTTACAGGCTATGAGTCTGCTCATTTGCCATGCTGAAATTCTGTGCCTGAAGCTCAACACTGAGAAGCTGAGATAAGATGTTAGAAGAACTTAGGTAATGTCTTGAAGAGCAACTCAGCCACTTTGGTTAAGAGTTCAACTAAAAAATCTGACAGTTCCATGAAATTACCATGTTCCCGCATTTCATTCATACTCCTCCTGTAATCTCAGAATTGGAGGCTCAGCTGCTCTCCCAAGAAGGTAGCATTTACATCAGGCTTTATGAATCTTGTTCCTTACTTCAGGGTGGGAACCTGGCCTTAAGCTTCCCTGAACTGCTCCTTATTTCAGGCTCTAGAATAGCTGAAAGCGTGCAACAGTGTTTACAAACAGTGTATGAAAAAACCCCATCATTCATGGGCTGCTGGAGGAACTCCTCAGGATCAAAGCCCAGCTGCTACAGTTAAAACACTCAACCCAGTTGCTAGAGAGCAACATGTAGGTTGCTTCCAGTGCAAAACTGATGGAAAGGTGGAAAATTCCATGTGAGTGACAGGCACTGACAGCAAAGCAGGAGAAGCAAGTCTGCAGTGGCTGGTCATGACTGCGGTGCTGAGTGTTCAGCTTTGCTCAGCACCAGCACGAGCACCCTGTGCAGGAGCAAAGCCAGCCATGCAGCACCATGCCTGCCCCCGACCCATGCTGGGACCAGGAGACCAGCCCTGGGAATGCAGGCTGCAGTTGTTTTCAAAGTCTGCCAAAGGCAAAGGGCAAGAAGCCACTATAAATGTTACTAACTTTTCTCTTGATAACTCTACGGTGATATAAGCAAAGACGTCCACACAAAAAATCTCAACATCTAACTTAAACTAAGCGTACAAAATGAGAAGCCTAAAGGTCAGAAGATCTGCTTCAGGTATTAAAATTAGACAGAAAAAAACCCAAACCAAAACTCAAAAAACGAATCTAGGTCTTTTCACCTCATCATGCAGGCAAAACAAAACCCAGATATACTGGATATGTACTCATACTTTTGCCCTTTTACACATATTACTTGTGTCTAAAAGACAGTGCAGTTATTTGTAAATATTATGGGTGGGAACTTAAGGAGCGCTTAGTGTTTATCTAACTTTGCTCCCATTGCTATAAGCCAGAGTTTCATCATTGATTTTAAGTACATTTTAGATGCTTAACTCCACTAGTTAATCATATTAACATTCAAGAGCTAACAGCACTGTATTTGGCATGATGTATCAGATTTGTTATAGATTCATTTAGTTTTTCACTGACAAAAACCTGAAGATCTTCTAAGATCTCATTTTGAGCCAATATTGTTGCTTTTACAAGGGTGCGAGACAATGCTTTTACCAGCAAGAAGCTAAGTCTTGAAGAAAAATAGCTTTATTTGACATCCTATCTATTCATGGGTCATTAGCTTCCTTACGTTTTTAAATGCCTCAAAACTGATGCGCAGTACCAATGCAATAGAGTTTGACATGTTTACCAGAAAACAAAAAGGAAGGAGAAGAGCAGGGAAATTCCTACTGTCAATATTTAGGAGCGGATTATGCCTTCTATGTACCTTCTCTGAGCGCTTTACTTGACACTGTCTTTTCTGAAGTGTCATGGCTCGACAGGACACGTTCACTTATCATTGTGCCTGTCACTAAGCGACCATCAGCAGCCTACCCTCACACTGACCTACATTGGGGGGTGCAACCTCTTTTCATGTGACAACAAGAGAACTAATTAATCCTGATAACTGTGGAATCTCCTCCCACAGCGAAAGGGGTGATTTTAGAGGCGCATATTCTATTTGTTTCGGAAGGCTTATTAGATAAATGTGAAAGTCAGTGAGAGTTGCTTAATTAATGAGAAAACATTAATTTAGTTTTCAAAAGTCAGGCATTCTGTCTAAAATAAGAGAATGACAAATTTAATTTTAAGAAAGCACAATGTATAATCTGTGATTTGCAAAGGATCAAAAGAATAAACTTTCTTCAACTACCAACTATCGATTTTTTTTCAACTAAGAGGTGATCCTATTCCTGCATTAATTAATCAAAAATTTGAATTATTTATTACTCAAATCCACTAATTATAAGTAATTAAAAAGATAAAATAAATGAACATGCCTATATTTTTCCAATGTGACATGTGCGTTCAGTTCTACAGATGAGTGAGTAACCATGCACATATGATCAGCCTTCCACTGATTTCAGATAAATCTCAATTTCTCTTGAAAATCAGAACCACATTCTGGATTATTATCCCCATTCTGATTTTTCCATCTTCTGCCTTTAAATTTCCTTTCATACACTGTAAATTTCTGCTACCTTTGACTAAAGAAAGTAAATCCAAATGCTAGCTTTATGGCTTAGTTAAAAAAAAAAAAAAAAGATATTAGAAGTTATAAGGAATTTCCTTGAAGTTAACAGGTTTAGTGGCTTTCTATTTTTAACATCTTTTTCATGATTTGAGGCTGAATGACTGTCTTCCAACCACTCCAGTTATCCTGAACATGTTGACTAATCTTTTTCCACCTGCACAATGAGAGGTTAAGGAGAATCATCAGTTTATCTTTGCAG